TCTCGGCAGGTCTTTCCCCAGCAACTACTGGGACAAGTTTGTCAAGCGGAAGGTGAGCAGCCACGTGTGGGGAGGCGGACAGGCCTCTTGGGCTGGGTCCCTCGCTGCCAGCGGGTCTTCTCGGCACTGCTTTGTGTGTGACTTTGGACATGGGGTCTGCCTCCTGGAGGGGCGCCTGTTTCCCCACACTTCCCTCTGTGGGATGGGTACACGGTGTGAGTGTGTGGCCCGGTGCCCGGCACGGAGCACACGCTCCACAGACAGCAGCTGTGAGGGGAAGTGAGAGAGCCTGCTTTTCTATGCCTGGTATGTCAGCCGTCTGTGCCTCAGTTCCCCTCCTGTTCCGAGTCGGGTGGTAATGGGGCTGGCCCTACAGGGTTGTGGTCAGGCTTGTATGACCACTGTGGGCAGGACCTGGCACGGAGGAAGGCACTAGCTACGTGTTGGCTGTTCCCGTCACTCATTCATTCACCAAACATTTATTGAGCACCTGTTGTGTATAATGAGCTGTTTTGGGAACCTGGGATCCAGCAGTAAACAAAACAGGGATTCTGATATTCGAGTTGGAAAGACAGATGATGGACAGACTGCCACTGTGCAGGGGGAAGGCGGGACGGTGGGAACACGAGGAGGGGCGGGGAGGCTGCCGCGGGCCGGGGGCAGGGAACAGGAAGGGCCGCCCTGATTGATAAGGAAGGGAGGAAAGGGGGGGAGGGCGTCCCACACAGGAGGAACGCCAGTGCCTGGTGTCAGGAACGCGGGGAGGCAGTGTGGCTGCAGCAGAGTGAACGAGGAGCAAACAGGAAGAGACCAGGTCATAGGTGACCGGGTGACCGGGCCCACTTCCTCGCCTCCCTCCTTAACACGCCGCCCTTTTAATCCAGCTAACGAAGCCCCTGGGCCTTTATCGTTTGGGGGTCCTCCCCCGCTGAGGATCCGAAGAAAAGCCTTGCCCTCCCTCTCAGAGAAATGCACCCCTAGTTTCTCACACAAAGCTCAGTGTCCCCAGAACCCTGGTGCAGGTCATGACCCCCCCACACACACATGCATGCACACACACACACACACACATGCACGTGCACGCACGCTCCAGCCGAGCACACTGCCTGACGCTCCCCTGGGCAGGTCCTGGACAAACACGGGGACATCTTCGGGCGGGAGCGGATTGCCGAGCTGCTGGGCATGGACCTGGCCTCGCTGGAGATCACGGCCCACAACGAGCGCAAGCCCGACCCCCCGCCGGGGCTGCTGACCTGGTGAGCCAGGGACCGCCCTGCAGCCCTGGGGCTCCGAGGAGGGGCAGGGCTGGACCCCAGGCCTCTGGCTTCTTCCCTGAGCCCCGCTCCCACACAGGCTCATGTCCATCGATGTCAAGTACCAGATCTGGAAGTTCGGGGTCATCTTCACGGACAACGTGAGGAGGGGCCCACGGGTGGGAGGTGGGACTCGGGGAGGGGTTAGCAGGGTCGGGGGCTCTACCTCCAAATGTCCTTGACCAGAGATTGACTCCTGCTGCCCTGGGTACCTCTGATCCTAGGGGACCCCCACCCCATCCTCCAGAGCATCCTTGGGGCGCCCTTGGGTTCCTCTGCCCACAGCTCTCCACGTGCCCCAGGAGGCTGTTACTCCCCGGGGCTCCCAGCCCTCCCTGCAGTCCCCAGAGCACCCAGAGCTCTCCCTGGGTGTCCCTGACACCCCTGACCCCAGCCACGTGTGCCCACAGTCGTTCCTGTACCTGGGCTGGTACATGGTGATGTCCCTCCTGGGCCACTACAACAACTTCTTCTTTGCCGCCCACCTGCTGGACATCGCCATGGGGGTCAAGACGCTGCGTACCATCCTCTCCTCTGTCACCCACAATGGGAAACAGGTGTGGAGTGGGCGGGGCGAGCGTGTGCAGGGGCTGTGAGAACTGGGCCATGAGCGGGCAAGGCCAGGCGGGCTGGGCCAGGTGTGTGGGGGCCGTGAGACCTGGGCCATGAGGGTGAGCAAGGCCAGGTGGGCTGGGCCAGGTGTGTGGGGGCCGTGAGACCTGGGCCATGAGGGTGAGCAAGGCCAGGCGGGCTGGGCCAGGTGTGTGGGGGCCGTGAGACCCAGGGATGGAGCTGACCCGTCCCCTGTCCGTCCCCCAGCTGGTGATGACTGTGGGCCTCCTGGCCGTCGTGGTCTACCTGTACACTGTGGTGGCCTTCAACTTCTTCCGCAAGTTCTACAACAAGAGCGAGGACGAGGACGAGCCGGACATGAAGTGCGATGACATGATGACGGTGAGCCCCTCCAGCCTAGGCTTGCGGCCGAGGACAGGCCCTTGGTTCTCCCACCTGTGAAGGGGGTCAGTAGTGGGACCCAGCTCATCCGGCCAGGTCCTTGGAACGGGGCCCAGACACCTGCCCTGTGTGGTTGGGGGTGGGGGGAGCTGCTCGGCCACCTCCCTGTGCCCCGGTGGCTTCACCCGTAACACAGGCGTGTGGTGCTGGGCCTACTTCCTGGGCTGCTTCTCGGCTGGCTTTAGGTCTCAGAATGGTGCCTGCCGTGTGCCGTGGGCCACAGAGGTCAGCCGCTGGCGTCATGGAGTGCAATTTCCCCCAAGTGCCAGTGGGCACCCTGGGCATGTTTTCTTTCCTCTCCTACCCATGGTGCTTCCAACCCAGATTGACTCTGGCCGGTTGCAGGCCTGGGCACTGGTGGGGAGACGTGGGCTCGTCACGTGGCCTGTGGGCCCAGCCCCTCAGGCTGGACTTGGAGGCCCCTCTGGACCTGGACTTGCCCCCGAACCTTGTCCCCATCAGTCTCCGGCCTTCGCTGTCAGTCCTCTCACTTCCTGGGGGCACAGGAGGGGCAGTGTGAAGTCTTCCGCAGGGCCAGCTGGGACACATCTCCAACCCCACCCGCTCTGCTCAGAACCTTCTGGTGGTCCCCAAGCGCCCTGTGGATGAACCTGATTGCCCACCACGGCCTCCAAAGCCGGGAAAGAGCGTAGCCCTACTGAGTCGGAGCCGCTGGGTCTAACCACAATCCCTCTTGCTTTTTGCTTTCTGGCTTCCTGGTCTTCTTTCAGTTCCCCTAAGACCGTATGTTTGTTTCTGACTCAAGCCCTTTGCACCTGAGGTTCTCCACCCCCCAGTACGCACGCATGCACACGCACATACATGCACCCAGGCGCACGCGCACACACACGCTCTTTCAGTTAACATCTCACTTCCTAACATAAATGCTGCCTCCTACAGGAAGCCCTCCTTGGCCCTGGACTGGGCCAGGGACCCATGTGACCAGGCCCTGCCTCACCAGGCTGCCTGCAGCCCCCCAGGTGGAAGCTGTAGCCTTCCCTCCCTGATGATGACACAGCACGGGCGGTTCGCTCTGCCGGGAACAGGCTCTCCTACTCCCCTCACCCCCACCTCCTCCGAGTTCCAGCTTACACGTGTCCCCTCTTCCAGGAAGCCCCCCCTGGACTCACAGGGCTTGCTGTGTTTCCCCCAGCTCACCTCTGCTCACTCCTCGTCCCCCGGCCCCGGCCCCTCTGCCTGCGCTCTCCTTGTCACAGCCGTGGCCGTTTCGGGGCTGTCACTGACGTCACGTCGTGAGCCCCGCAAGGGCAGAGCCCGGGCTGCCTCAGTCACTGTCGGTCCCCCGTGAACGCTGAGCGGCTGAGTGACCAGCGTGTCCCTCGTCCCCAGTGCTACCTGTTCCACATGTACGTGGGCGTCCGGGCTGGCGGAGGCATCGGGGACGAGATCGAGGACCCAGCGGGCGATGAATACGAGCTCTACCGGGTGGTCTTCGACATCACCTTCTTCTTCTTCGTCATTGTCATCCTGCTGGCCATCATCCAGGGTCAGCGCAGGCGGGGGTCGCGGGGGCGGGTCCTCGTTGCCCGGAGACAGGCTAGGTCCTTCCGTAGGGTTCCCATCCCCGCCCTGCCCCCTCCTACTGCGAGACCTGGAACAAGCCACCTTCCTAGGCCTCGGTTCAGCATCTGCGAAACGGGCCTACGGATGGGACTGACCTCCTAAGGGCTCAGCTCGCTGGGGGGCGGTGCTCAGTGAACCCCTGCTTCCTGCTCGGGAGCTAGGGGATGCACGTGGGAGGGGTCGGAGATGGGTCAGAGGTCGGGCGCTGACCGGCCTCCGCGCCCAGGTCTGATTATCGACGCCTTCGGCGAGCTCCGAGACCAGCAGGAGCAAGTGAAGGAAGATATGGAGGTGGGTCGCGCTGGGGCCGCCCCCCGGGGGTAGGGCGTCCGGGCGGGTGGGCCCGACTCTGACCGCCCCTCCCGGCCTCGCAGACCAAATGCTTCATCTGCGGGATTGGCAGTGACTACTTCGATACCACGCCGCACGGCTTCGAGACCCACACGCTAGAGGAGCACAATCTGGCCAATTACATGTGAGCGCGGGCCCGCTGGCCAATCAGGGGGCGGGGCGCTGGGCCTCAGCCAGTCAGGAGAGGGGGGAGGGGTGTGGCGGCCAGCCAGCCAGCCAATGAGGGCAGGAGGGCGGCTCTGACGGCGCCCACGGCCCTCCCACCCTCAGGTTCTTCTTGATGTATCTGATAAACAAGGACGAGACGGAGCACACGGGCCAGGTGAGCGGGTGCTCGCGGGCGGGCAGCGGGCAGGGACGTGGGCGGCCGGTCAGCGGGGGCGGGAGGCTTGTTGATGCCGAGACTGGAGCTGAGACGAACGGCGTCGTCCCGCCCCGCCCCGCCCCAGGAGTCCTACGTCTGGAAGATGTATCAGGAGAGGTGCTGGGACTTCTTCCCCGCCGGCGACTGCTTCCGCAAGCAGTACGAGGACCAGCTGAGCTGAGACGCCCCGGCTGCCCTCCACCCCACCTCCAGTGCCTTCTTCTCACAGCAAGCCCTCCAGACTCCCGGGCAGAGGGATTCCGAACCCGAGAAATAAAAGTCTGTTCCACCCCCTGGCATCTCTGTGTCGGGCTGTTGAAATTTAGGGGGAGTCGGCATCCAGAAATCCCGCCTCCCTCCATAAAAACAAGACATCAGAGGCTAAGGTCCTATTTATTGGGAAACAAGGACAGGACGTGAGCACTAGTGTGTGTTGCTGGGGGGTACAGGGACTGGCTCCCGGCACCCCCAGGAGACTCATTCCTGGATGTAGAGGTTGCTGGGGGCCGTCGGGTCATCTGCCGGACGCGTCTCCACCACCACCGGCCTGAGGGAGGAATGGGGAAGTCAGGTCATTCATTCACTCACTCACTCACAGCGCAGTTAGTAAGAGAGGGTGGCGGCCCGATGCTGGGCTGCAGGAGTGACCGAGCAGGCGTGGCCCAGCCTCTGGGGAGCTCCGGGCCTGCAGAGAGGCCGGCGTGGCCAGGCAGGGACGCCCGGGCCAGGCGGAGCGGCGGGGGAGCCTGAAGGAGGCCTGGGGGGACAGGGCCGGGGCAGCTCTGCCCGTGCTGCGACACCCGCGAGCACAAACTCAAGGAAAGACAGATGAGGGAAAAATCAGCGTTCGGTAGCCGCCCTGACCCAGAGTCGGAGGACGCTGACGCCAGCGGTGAAAGCCGTTCAAGAAAGAGCGCAGTGACTCAGTGAGTCTCCCCAGAGGAGCGTCTCACAAACAGCGACGCTGCAGTGAGAAGACGGGTTCATCCGCCTGACCACACGACCCAAGTCGTTACCTCTGCCGGGGACCGATGGCCTCACGGGCCCCTTGTTGTCATGCGCTGAGAAGGACACAACCTCACTTCTGTGGTTTCCTGCCCAAGCGCATAACTTGGAGCCTCAAACTCAGCGGAGGGACCTTCTACAAAGTAACTTTACTGTGCTTTTCAAAAGTGGTAAGAGCGTGGACGACAAAGAAGTCTAAGAACTGCCCCTCCTAAGGCAGGCGTGGAGACCCCGTGGGCTAAGCCAGCCCTTGGGACGCCTGAGTCCGGAGCCTGGATTGAGTCCCAGTGACTCCATGTTTCTGATCCAGCTTCTTGCTAAGGTGCCTTGGGAGGCAGCAGACGATGGTCCAAATCCTTGGGTTTGTGCCACCCCTGTGAGAGACCAGAATGGAGCTCCTGGCTCCTGGCCTCAGTCTGGCCCAGCCCTGGCTGCTGTGGGCATTTGGAGAGTGACCCAGCAGATGGAAGATGTCTCTGTCACTTTATCTTTCAAATACATTTTAAAAGAAGAAGGAAGAAAACGACTCCTAAGGTCAGCCCCTGGTCCTGGGTTGGATCCTGGAGCAGGAAGAATCATTAATTTTCCTGGCTATAAAGGGCAGCACTGGAACAGCTGGTGGCCCTTGCATGGGTGTTTGAATTAGCAGCCGGGGACAGAGACACTGTCTCGGTTCTGACAGCTGCATTTTGGTGTGCAAGGTTACAGCCTTTGATTCAGGAAACGTAGGCTGAAGCATGTAGAGAGAAATGGGAATCCTGCCTGCGACTTATTCCCAAAGAGTAAGAAAAAAATTACTTTTTGTTTTTTTGACATTTGTGTAAGAGAAAGAAAAAGAAAAAGTTAACATCCAGGGAGTGTGAGTGAAATGGACACGAGACTCTGTAGTAGTTTCGCAACTTCTCTGTGAACCTAAAATTATGTCAAAAGAAAAAGTTAAAATAGTGATCTCCGGTCATTAAAATAAAACGAGGGGCAGGCATTGGGGAGCCGCACGTAAGCCGCACTCAGGGCCCCGCACCCGTATCAGGCGCTGTTTGAGTCTGGCTACTCCGCTTCCCATCTAGCTTCCTGCTGCTGCGCCGGCAGGCAGCGGATGAGGGCTGCGTCTGGGCCCGACACCCAGGTGGGAGGCCCAGCCCTGGCTCGTGCGGGCGTTTAGGGAGTGAACGAGGTGAAGGAGATCTCTGTCTTTCTCTGTACTCCGCCTTTCCCGAAGGTGGAAATAAGCAAACATTTGAAAACGTTGACATGAAATGAAAACGCGCCCTCAGATGCCAGGTGAGAAACAGACTACGGGAGGCAGGGGTGGAGCCGAGGCCAGGTGACAGTAGCCAGGCTAAACACACAGGTGGGGGGACCCCTGGGGAGCTTGCTCCACGTGAAGAGCCCCTGGCTAAACACACAGGTGTGGGGACCCCTGGGGTGCTTGCTCCACGTGAAGAGCCCCAGGCTAAACACACAGGTGGGGGGACCCCTGGGGAGCTTGGTCCATGTGAAGAGCCCCTGGCTTCCTTCGGGCCCCTTGCCTGACCTTACCTGGGAGAGCCGAGCAGACGGAAGGTGAGGGTGGGGTCTCTGAGCTCCTGCAGCAGCTGGGGGAAAATTGCATGTCAGTGCCCAGAAGACCCTTCCCCTCTCCCGTAAAGAAAGCAAGGAGGGGCCTCGGTCGTCCAGCCTCAGGTCCCAGAATCATCGTTCTTGCCAGCACCATGCACCTGCTGTGTGACTTTGGGCAGGTTACTCAGCCTCACTCTGCTCAGATTACTATCCTACCGCCCACTAGGTGAACACGACCTAGAAAACAGAGCGGAAGGGCCCCCTTGTCCACAGACAAGCACCATTTCCTCTCCGTGTCCTAGATGAGGACAGCCAGGCTCAGCGAGGTTAAGTCATTTGCTGAAGGTCACACAGCTGGACTCCAATCCAGGCGGTCAGGTCCATGCCCTTGACCGCCACCTGTCTCCACAGTGCACTTTACTGCTGGGGAACAGAGTCGCAGAGAGCAGCAAAGCCCCCCGCAGGTCACACGGTGGCCAGGGCCGTGGTTAGGACTCAAGAGGTCTGGGGCTGAGAGGGGCTCCGGCTGAGCTCCAGGACCCCCCACCCGGACTCGCGAGACCGCCTTTGGGGCAGGGGCGCAGAGACTCACCTGGTCTGAGCCTGGAGCCCACACTTGCACGCCATGCTTCCAGAAGGCCTGGAGCCGACCCCCAACCATAGCTGGGGAGAAAGCAGTGCCGTTGCCCTTGGGGACCACCTGGGGGTCCTCCCCTCCTGGGCCCTCTCCTCCCCGCACATACCCACAGCCTCCACCACTTCCGTCATGGGGATCTCAGGTGTGTGCAGGCCCCGGGCTGGGGCTCCCTCGGGGGTCACCAACTTCAGAGAGCCTGGAAGTGGGGGGAGAGGGGCAGGTAGAGAGGGTTTTCAGAACTGGGAGCAGGGCTCCGAGGGTCCCTAGGGCACCAGGCAACAAACCCAGCGCCAAGAGCTGAGGGCAGGGCAAGGCCTGGAGAGGCTCGGGGTTTCCAAGGGGCACAAGGTCTGGGAGTGGGCTTCCGGGTGTGTGTGGGGGCAATCCAGGCAGGGATGGGGCGGGGGGTTCTTACCGTCCATCAACACCATCACCATGTCTTCCTCTACCTGGGTCACCTGCACTGGCCCCTTGTGCTCTGTTTGAGACCAGGGGGCGCTAAGGACCCACTCGGCCCCTCTCCTCTTTCCCCGCACCACCCCCACAGCAGCCCCTCTGCGGGACACCCTCTTGGGTTCCAAGCAAGTCAGCTAAACCCCGGTTCCGCGCTGCTTTCGACCTCGCCAGCGAGCTGAGACCCACCTCTAAGCACCGCCCAGCCCCACCCCAGCCCCACCCGGGTCCGCCCTCGGCGCGACGGCCGCGCTCACCGGTGCTCATCTCGCCCAGCCAGCAGGAGAGCGCGCCGAAGCGCACGGTGTGGAAGAGCACGGACTTGGCCGGCCGCCCGGGGCTCACGCCGATGCACACGGCCGGCAGCTCGGAGCCCGGCGCCGTCAGCAGCGCGAACACCGGCAGAGGCGTCGGCAGCGGGAAGAGCACCTGCTGCGGGCCGCACGGGGAGAGGCGGGCTCAGAGGAGGCTGGGGGCGGGGCCTGGGCGGGGCGGCGCCCAGGAGGGCGGGGCCTGGGAGCGGGCCCGAGTGGGCTTAGGTGCTGCCTCCTTAGAAGTTGTGGCCTCAGAATGGGTGTTGCTTTCGGGGGGGCGGGGGGGGTGTCGCCCTGGCGACAGGAAGGTACGACTCCAAGGGACGGGCCCCCAAGTCTGCAAAATTTATTTAGAGACTTCGGACGGGGCAGCCCGGCACGGGGTCTCCTTGGAGACCCAGGGAGCGGGGCGGGGCCTGGGGTACGAATAGGCCCAGGTGCGAGGGGTGGGGCTGAAGGGGCCGGCGCAGGTCGCAGTGGGTGGGGGCCTCGGCGGAGGCCCGCAGGTGCAGTGCAATCCCCGGCCACCCCATCCCGCCCCTTACCCGGACGAGCAGGAACTTGTTCATGGGCTGGTACCACTGGAACAGGACCACGGACGCCTCCAATGCCCCGCACAGGAAAGGGCCCCCGGAGCTCGCACCCTCCGCTGCGGGCGTGGCCAACGACGGCCGCGTCAGGGCCAGTCCCCCCGCCGCGCCCCTCTCCCCCGAAGCGACCGCACACCCTGTCCAAGAGGGAGACCCAGGGCCACCCCGGTCCCCGCCGCCCCCTGCTGCGCACCCATGGGCTCGCTCTCACCCACACAGCATGCGCGGCAGCCTTTGGTGTCCTGGATCTTGGTGGAGACCATGTTCTTCCTGAAGCAGAGGTGCACGTGAAGGGTGGCGGACAGCGCGAGGGGTGGGGGAGACCCAGGCACCCGGCCGTGTCGCCACGGGGAGCTGTTACCTTGCCAGTAGCCGATGGGGGCTGATGTGAGCGATGGGGCTTCCGGTTCTGCTCTCTTTCCGCTCCAGCAGGCCCAGGATGCTATGAGAATACAGGTGGGGGGTCTTTCCTGCAGCGTGTGTGTGCGTAGGGGGAAGCAGGACGTTATAGGACCCCGGATGCCACCTCCTGTCCCCTGTCCCCTCCCTGGGCCCCAGACTTCTCATTCATTCGTTTTTCTCAACAGGTTGTACAGGCACTGTACTTGGCCATGGTCCACGGCCGTGAGCAAAACCAGCACGTTCCCGATCCCTGCGGAGCCCGTGGCCACCTAAGAGACACGCTGGACGCTTAGCCACTCCGATGACGTCACCCAGACACGAGTACTTCCAACAGCGTGTGCGAAAACGCAGGTGACAGACAAGCTCGTGTTAGTGCAGAAGCTGAAAGCCCTGCACAGGCTTTTTCGTAAGGTGCACTTTCCCCCAGGAACTTTAATTTTTTTGAAGATTTTATTTATTTACTTGAGAGGTAGAGTTACAGACAGAGGAAGACAGAAAGGCCTTCCTTCCGTTGGTTCACTCCCCCCAGTTGGCCACAATGGCCAGAGCTGCACCAATCCGAAGCCAGGAGCCAGGTGCTTCTCCTGGTCTCCCATGGGGTGCAGGGCCCAAGCACTTGGGCCATCCTCCACTGCCCTCCCGGGCCACAGCAGAGAGCTGGCCTGGAAGAGGGGCAACCGGGACTCGAACCAGCGCTCACATAGGATGCAGGCGCTGCAGGTGGAGGAATAACCTACCGCGCCACGGCGCCGGCCCCTCTAGGAACTTTTTGAAGACACTCATGTTACAAAGTCTAAGAATTACATCTAGAAATTCTCTAATGTTTGTCGCCACAAGTGTGTTATCAGCAAGCGCATGAATACTCTTTGCTTGTTTCTCCTAAATTCAGAGGGCATTTTACGCACGTCGTGGGTGTTTGAGGCAGTGGGTAAGACGCCCGCTGCAGCAACCCGCTCGGCGTGCTTGGGCTGCAGTCCCGGCTCTGCTTCCAATCCCAGCTCCCTGCTAACATGCGCCTGGGAGGCAGCAGTGACAGCTCCAGTGCTGGGGTCCCTGCTACCCATGGGGAGACCTGGATGGAGTTCTGGGCTCCTGGCTTTGGCCTGATCCAGTCCCAGCTGTTGTGGGCATTCGGGGAGTGAACCAATACATGGAAGATCTCTCTCTCTCTCTCTCTCTCTCTCCCTCTCCCTCTCCCTCTCTCTCTCTCTCCCCTTTCAAATAATGAAAATAACAGAAATTCTTTTGTACAAAATATTTATAAGAGAATGACAGATTTTTAAAATCTGTGTGGAATTAGTTCTGATTGCCATCAAAGCTATTTAAGACTAATTTATTGTAGAAACAACCTCAAAATGGACTTGAGAGGTGGGGACTATTCTGCTCTCCCTTTACAGATGGGGAAACTGAGGCTGGGGGCGGGGGAGAAATCCCTTGGCCTAAGTCCCACAGTGAAAAAGTGGCCGGGACTTGAACCTCGGGCTCCGGGAACGGCAACCTGGGTCTCGGCATCTGTGCCCATCCACCTCCCAAGCACCTGACCTTCAACCCTCAACTTCTGCCCCCACCCCCCCGCCCCTCAGCCAGACCTGAGAGAGACATGAGCACGTTGTTGATGGAGTACACCCAGGTGGTCCGGCTAGGAAAGAGCTACGGAGAAAGGGGAGAGGGCTCCTGTGAGGGCCCCGCCTCCGGCGCCCCTGCCCCACCCCGGGCCGGCCCCTCACCATCTCCAGCGTGGCCTCCTGCTCACTCCGGTTCAGGATGAAAATGCCCTCCTCAGCCCCCAGGAGCAGGTGCTGGTCTGCAGGGAGACAGCCAGGACGCTAGGACCTTCCCCACCCCAGCCCGGCCTGACCCGTGCCCTCTCACCCCAGCCAACACGCTCAGCCTGAACCCAAGCCCTGACCAGCCCCTCAGGCTACTGTCGGTCCCCATCCTTCTGTGACTCCCCGCCCTGCCGCCTGGGGGCGCTCTTCCGGCTCCAACTGGCACATCCTGACTGTCCTCAGCTCCTCACTGGGACCCACAACTCCAGACCCGCCGCCCCAGTGCCGTCTGGTTTCTGTCCCTGTCTCTCGAGCTAACCCCGTCTCAGCACTGACCCCAAAGTCAGGCCTCCGCAAACACGGCTTTTCTGTCCCCTGTGACCCCTCACTGGCCTTGTCCCCTCCACACCGCTCACCTCCAGACTCTGCCTTTCCCGCTACACTCTGACCCCTCGAATTCTTGACCCCAGGACACTGCTCCCAGCCTCCACCGCTGGGCTCCGGCTGAACCTCCCCTTGTGCTCTGACTTCCCCTCCATCCACCCACCTTGGGTCCCCAGGCCCCAGCAGGAACCACAGGCGCTGTCCTGTTCCAGCTCCATAAGGCTCCTCCCCACCCCCACCCGGCCGGCGCTCACCCTTGGTGGACGGGCGTGTCCAGGAGGCTGTGCCGTGGATGCGGCCCCACCCCCACCCACGGGCGCTCACCCTTGGTGGACGGGTGTGTCCAGGAGGCTGTGCTGTGGATGCGGCCCCACCCCCACCCGGCCGGCGCTCACCCTTGGTGGACGGGTGTGTCCAGGAGGCTGTGCTGTGGATGCGGAGCGGGCAGCCATTGAACAGCTTCACCAGCAGCGCACATTCCTGGGCAGGCCGGGCAGCGGGGCCAGCAAGAGGGGGCAGGGGACAGGAAGAGGCAGTGGTAAAGACAGGAGGACCAGGGTTCAAATCCCGCCTCCACCTTCTCGAAGGGATTCAGCTGGCTCCCCCGGGGGGCGGGCTTCGGGCCCAGGGGCGAAGGTGTGGCCTGAGCGACTGTGTCCCGCACTGGCGCACCAGGGCTCACGCCTGGCCCTGGCCCTGGTCCTGACTCCAGCTTCGTGCTAATGTGCACCCTGGGAGGCGGCAGTGGCGGCTCAAGGGCTCGGGCCCCGCCACTCACATGGGAGACCTGGATGGAGCTCCTGGCTCCCAGCTTTGGTCCCAGCCCAGCCCTGGCGTTGCGGGCATCTGGGGAGTGAACCAGTAGGTGGGAGTATCTCCTCTCAGGTAAGTAAAAGTTTTTAAAAACATATTCCCAAAAAGAAATTGCAGCAAATAAATAAATCTTTAAAAAAAAAGAAACCAGTAAAGCACAGGGAAGCAGGCATGGGTTCTGTGTCCTCTTATATGCGGGCCCTGGGCATCCTTGGGTCTTGGTGTCCGCAGGCTGCCCTGGGCCACCCCCCGATACAGGGGCAGCTGTGACTTACCCTTTCTGGGCCTCCTCCCCCTCTGTGAAATGGGGACACCCTCCCGGGGTAGCCGCCGCCGTCACCAGGCAGAGCCGTGAGATCCGTGTCTGGCACACCCGCCGTGAGTCCTTCCAACCCCACCCCAGCTGTGTCCTCAGCGTGGCTGGCCTCACCTTTCTCCTCATCTTCTCCTTCTTGGGGGGTAGCACTGGGGGCTGGGCAGGCTCCCGGAGGGCTGGGTTCCACAGTGAGGGTTCTGAGGGCGGTAGGGGGACAATCAGCCTCCAAGGCCCCCTCTCCTGACCCCATCCACCCCAGCCCACCCCCTTACCTGAATAGGCGGTGAGGTGGGGGCTGCGAGAGGCTGGAGGGGGCCCAGGACGGGGGGTGCGTGGGGGAGGCCCGCTGGCACACCGGACTAGCACCCCCGGGCTCAGCTGCCCCTCATCCCCAGCCCCACCAGAACCCTCGTCAGATGGAGAACGGAACTTGGGCTTCGGAGACGGAGAGGAGCATGGGAGGTGCGTCAGACGCTCGTAAGGAGAGGCTGCCCGTGGCGAGCCCAGTGCCCGCCGCCCACCTGCCCCCAAGCCCAGAGCAAGCGAGGGCCCCCGACTGTCTCTGCCCGCCCTTCCACTGCCCCTCCCCTCCCCCCAGCGTCAGCACGCTCCGGACACTGAAGAGTTGATGCTGGGTGCAGCAGGGGGCTCCTGGGACCCACCAAGGACCAGTGTTCCTGAGGCTAAAGATCTAGAAGCCCACCCTAGGGTGCCCAGGGAGGCGGCTGGCAGACCCACCAGCAGCTCATCGCCCAGACCCCCAGCTGTGCACCCCCAACGGCCCTGGGACGCAGGAGCTGAGGTCCAAGGAGCTGGCCTCGCCGCCCCAGCACCTTACCTTGGGGGGCAGTGGAGGAGGTGTGTCCTCTGCAGGGGCGGGGCTGAAACACAAAGGTGGGGTAAGGGGGCGGGGCGGGAGGCCTGGGACGGGGCGAGGGGCGACTCGGCCTGGCTGGAGCTGAGGCTGCAAAGACCAGGGCCGCACTAACAGCGGTGACAGCGACTCCGGGCTGTGGACGGCTGACAAGGCGTCCAGGAGCACAGATCCTAGCCACTGCCTTGGGTCAAGTCCACACTCAGGACCCGGTGCTCCTTAGACGCCCAGCACGTGGACGATGTATGCAGTAAACGAGCCGCCCTTGGGTCTGCGGGCTGGGGATGCCTGGGCCTGAGCTGTGACTGGGGTTGAGGTTCGGGGCTGGGGCTCAGGGTCTGGCCTTCGGGAAATTTCCAGGGACTGAGGTTGAATAAGGAGGGTGGAGGGTCAGGGGTCAGAGGTCAGAGAAACCTTCAGTAGGCCTTTGAGACTGGGCTGCCGCCGAGGTCTGGGGCTGAGGGAGAGGCGGGGAGAGGCCTGTGGCCGGGCCAGAGGATATTCTGGAAAGATCTATGGTGGGGTCAGTGCCCACTGAAATCGCAGGCCAGGTAAGAAGGGAAAAGAAAGTGGAGGACGCTGGCTTGGGGCCTGGGCGAGGGTCAAGGGTCGGAGGGTGAGGTGGGGTTAGGGAGCCGGGCTGCAGAGGGGAGAAAGGTGAGGGTGGTGGCACCGAGGGAGGCAGGGGGGCGTCTAGGGAGGCGGGGGCTGCAGTGCGGGCCAGGAGCCGGGCCCGGCCTCTCTTACATGTCCACGTCGTCATAGTCATCGTCGGACTCGGACTGGTCCCTCCTGGAGAGTGCCAGGCGTGAGCCTCAGTGGCTGGCACGCGTCCCAGCCCCCACCCCACCCGGGGACCCCCTCACCTGGGACTGCCACCCTTGGAGTCTGCAGGGGGCTGCAGGCGAGCCTAGGAGACAGCCAAGGGTCAGCCGGGCCTGGGGCGCGGGAGGCCCCGGGGAGAGGGAGGGCGTCTCACCGTGTGGGCTGGGGGTCTGCTCTCCACGCCGCGGAGCCTCCTGAACTCCATGTGCCGCCCTGTGGGGGGGGGGCACAGTGAGCCGGGGGCAGGGCCGTGAGATGGGGGGGCCATGGTGAGCTGGGAGCAGGGGCTGCCTGTGGGGGGGCACAGTAAGCCGGAGGCAGGGGCTGCCTGTGGGGGAGCACAGTGAGCCGGGGGCAGGGGCTGCAAGTGGGGGGCTGCCTGTGAGGTGGGGGACCACTGTGAGTCGGGGGCAGAGGCTGCGAGGTGGGGGGCCACGGTGAGCTGGAGGCAGGGGTCGTGAGATGGATTTGGGTGTTGGAGTCAATGTCCCGTGGGATGGGGTCTCGGTTTCCAGGGGTCTCATTTGGGGGTCAAGGTGCTTACAGAGTGTTGTCAGGGTCCATGTAGGTGGCACAGGTTCTGATACAGATTTCTTTTCTGTTTTAAGTGCAACCTCTTTTTTTTGTTTGATTTTGTTTATTTGAAAAGCAGAGAGACAGAGAAGTCTTCCATCTACTGGTTCTCTGCCCAGATGCCCAGAGCTGGGGCTGGACCAGGCCTCAGGAGCCAGGAGACCATTCCGGGTCTCCCGTGTGGGTAGCAGGGACCTAAGTCCTCGGGCCGTCAGCACTGCCTCTAAGGGTGTGCACTAGCAAGGGGCTGGAATGGGAAGCGGGGCCGGGTCTTGAACCCACGCACTAGGGAATAGGAGGCAGGCCTCGCAAGCAGTGTCTCAACTGCGACACAGACACCTGCGCCAGAGGAGACGTCTGCGGGCCCTTTTGGGACCAGGGTGGTGTTGGGCGGCCTCATGTGGTCTGTGGGTGGCAGGGCGGGGGCCCCTCCGGTCATTTTGTAGGTCAGCTGGTGATGAGGCCTCTGGAGTCTCTCATGGGACCTGACGGCGGGAGGGTGGGGGTCTCGGGTCTATCATGGGGTGTGCGGTCCGCAGCCTCAAGGAGTCTACTCACGACAGCAGTCTGCATCTGGGATCCCCAGAGAGCTGGACCGGTGCGTGGATCGGATCCTCCGTGGGATGGCCGGGGGCGGCTGGGCGGGCAGGGGCGGGGCGGCTGCGTCAGGGCTCACAGCCTTGCGCCCTGTCCCCCACCTCCCCCACCCCCGCTACCCGTCTGTGCGCCCAGCCTGGTGCCCCGGCTGCCCTCCCTCCTGCCTGCTGCAGGGACGGCCCAGGCGGAGGCAGGAGGCTCACCTCGGGCTCGTCGTCCTCACTCTCGCCCACCAGGGGCCCCTTCCCGGGGTTCCTCAGCTTGTCGAGCAGATCCAGGATGAGGGCTCTGCTCAGCCCGGGCTGGGACACCAGCTGATGCTGCGGGAGGAAGAGGCCTGAGCCGACGGGGAGCTCAGAGACCCGGGGCCGGGGCCCTTGCAAGTGCTTTGGCACATTCACGGGTGTTGGGGGCCTGAGAGTCCCAGCAGCTCGGGGAGTGATGTGGGGGCCCTAGAGGGGCGTCCTGGGCAACACCAGGGGCCAGGGGCTGCAGACGGAGATCCCCGCGTTCGGGCCAGCATGGGAAGCCCTGGGAAAGACCCCGGATGGCAGAGCCAGGGAGGGCGAGAGACTTACACTGAGCATCTTGGCCGCGCTGGGTCGCTTCTTGGGGCTCTTAGTGAGGGTGACTTTGACGAAGTTGTGGAAGGCAGCTGACCTTCAGGGCGAGGGGACGGCGACTGTCTGGTCAGGGCGCCGCCGGGCCTGCCCCCACCCCGCCCCCCACTCCCCACCCCTCACCCCTGCCCCCTGCCCCCCTCCTACCATTTGCCTTTCTCCTTCAGCCGCGGAGGCTGGTAGCCACTCTTGGTCATGAGGAAGAGGACCCTAGAGGAGGAGGAAAGGAAGCAGGGCTGAGCCCCCCAGGGGGCCAGGCCCCATGGCTTCAGGGGCTCGGAGAGCACTGAAGTCAGCCAGGGACAGAAGGCGATGGGCCTCAGCTCCTAGAAGCAGCGCAGGAGGCACTCCGCCCCTGACCCCAGAGGCTCACGGGGGGCCCCCAAGTTGGGGGTCTCAGGGGTAGAAGGCTAAAGACAGGCTTTCTCCACTAGGCGCATCCTTGGGGGCCCCTCAGGGCTGGTCAGGGTCTCTGGGCTCTGGGGGGGGAGGCGCCCACCCCTGCCTACCTGAGCGGGTGCACGTCGAACAGCGGCGGCTGGAGCTCAGCCAGCTCGATGGCCGTGATGCCCAGGGACCAGATGTCACACAGCTCATTGTAGCCCCCCTTCAGGGCCACAGCCGCCACTTCGGGAGCCATCCTGGGGGCAGAGAGCCTCAGCCAGCCCGGGGTGGCATGGGGGTGGGGTGGGGGAGAGGAAGGAGGGGCAGGGAGCCAGACGGACAGAGACACGGACATGGAGACAGACACAGGGTCAGGGACACAGCGGTGAGCTGGGAGCAGCACCAGGCTGAGAGACGGGCAGAGAGGGCACAGAGGGACCCAGACAATGGGTGACTGAACACGGGTGGCTCTTCCACGGAGGCGGGCAAAGGCTGGGGAACAGAGCCAGGCGGGACATTCCCAGGGACCCCGTGGGAAAGCCACTGTCCACCCCGCACCATGCCCAGAGCTGCCTGCCAAGTGTCGCTCACCAGTAGGGTGTCCCAATGAAAGAGAGGCGTCTAGCCAGCGTCGCCCCAATCTGGGCCGAGATTCCAAAGTCAGCTGGAGGCAAAGGGGGAGATTTGGTGAGCTGGGGTCCCCTGGTGCCCCCTGCCATTCCCCTGCCCACCCCCCACCAGCCACACTCACCCAGTCTGACCTCCCCAGCATCATTGATGAGAATGTTGGCTCCCTGGGGACGAGAGAGGGGCCCAGAAGCTGCTGGAGCCCCTGCTGTGTAGCCCAGCGCTGCCCCGCCCCCTGGCCCCACCACGAGGTCACTCCTGTCGGGTACCCGAGCGCCCAGCCCACCTTGATGTCTCGGTGGATCTTCTTCTGTGAGTGCAGGTAGGCCAGTCCCTGGGGAGAGGGTGGCAGGGGGTGCGTGAGTGCCCCCTGGGTGGGTGGGGCTGCAGTAGGGCCCCGCCTGCCCTGTACCCCCAGCCCCAGCCCCACCAGGGCCCAGGCTCTCCTCACCTGCAGCACTTCCCGACAGACGTAGCCGATCTGCAGCTCAGACAGGGAGCCCATCACTGCAAGGGGCACGCGGGCCAGGCCGGGTGTTGGGGGGAGCTGGGCAACCAGAGCCCCAGGGGGTCCCCCGGCCCCTGCCCACACCAGCTGAGAGGGTGCCATCGGGGAGGGGGAGATGGAAGGGTGCTCAGCGAGGAGCCAGGCTGGAGGGGGGCAGTCGCTCAGCTCCGCAGGCAGGTGCTGTGTCTGCTGGGTGCCAGGCACCAGGGCAGAGCCGGGAGGCGGAGGCAAACCGTCCCTGGCTTCGGGGAGAGCACAGTCCGGGGCGGGGAGGCAGGCAGCGGACCAGAAGGTGAGCAAAACGGAGCCCACGGGAGGCGCCAATAGCGAGAAGAAAGAGCCAGAACAGACAACAGGAAGTGCGTGTGGGCAGGGTTCTGACCCCGGGCGCAGCTGGTCAGCAGTGGCTATTCTAAGGTCACAGCCGTGAGGATGGGAGGGCAGGGGCCGGGGGCGGCAGCGGGAGGGGGTTGACAAGCAGTGACGTGGGGGGAGGAAGGTCGCAGGAGGCGAGCTTGGTCATCACGTGTGGGCTGAGACCCGGGGCCTCACGTGATGAGAGGTGTGGGCTTCTCGTGGGTGGGCTGTGGATGGCAGAGTGATGTGATTTTTGCCAAATGAGGAGAGGCAGAGAGAGAGAACGGAACAGGGACAGATCCAAACTGAGACAGAGACCAAGATGTGGCAAGTCAGCAAGAGAGAGACAGGAGGGGTGAAGAGGGGATCAAGACAGGGACAGACGGGCGCACAGGGCAGGTGGTCGGAGCAAGGGCAGACCAAGAGCCAGAACTGGAAATTCAGCCCCTCATCCGAGGACGATGGGGCATCTCCCAGGGGCCAGAGAACGCAGGCGCGCTGAGACCCAGGAATAAGCCAGAAATTGCAGAGACCAAGATGGGGACAGGGGTGGGGCGGGGCGGGGGAGGGTGGGGGGAATCACCGCCTGCAGAGAGACTGAGGCTGGCCAGGCCCGGGGCATGCTGGGTCATCATGACACCCTCAGCATCACCCGGGGCCAGAGAAGGGGCTCCTTGTTTAAAATCCAGACCAGAAAACCAGTTCCCAAGGACACGCAGAGGGATGGGGGGAGCGGGGAGGGGCCCGGATCCCCCACCCCCCTCTGACCTTGGTAGATGTCCTGGAGAGAGCCAGCCCCACAGAACTCCATGCAGATCCAGAGCTTCTGCAGCCTGCAGCGGTTGGAGAGTAGCAATCAGGCCAGTAGCAGCGGCAACGCGTTACCATCTGCAGCAGGGCCCTGGGCTCAAGACCATCAGCATCCGGTGGCATCCCTCCCTTTCCCTCTGCCCACCCCATTCCCATTTTACAGAGGGGGAAGTTGAGGCTCAGAAAGGAAACTGTGTTCAGGGGCGACTCGATGCAAGCCCAGGTCTTTGGCCTTCAGACCCATTGCACCCTCTGCTGTGTGAGAGCCCTCAGACCGTGGAAGTGAGCAGGAGGCGCGTGCGAGCAGGGGGCTGGGGGGGGGGGACTGAGGTCATCTGGAGCGTTCATCCGAGGGGCAGGGAATGGCAGGGGTCCCGTTAAAGGAGCAGAGTGGGAAGCCAGGGGAGGGCCGAGTCTCCAGCAGAGCTGAGTTCAGGCCTGGCTCCTGGGAAGGCATTGATTTGGGGACCACCGTGCAGAAATGGGAGCTCTGGGCAGAAAAGCGGGGTTTGGGACTCGGGGGTGAGCTCGAGGTGCCCCAGTTGAAGATGGGGCTCCAGAATCGGAGAGGAGGTCAGCGGGTGCCCCTTTGGGAGGGAGGACCCCAGGTCGGGGTAGGGGGAGGCCGTCACCAGAGGTAGCTCCCATGGTAGGCCACGATGTTGGCGTGCCGGCAGGTCTTCAATATGAGGATTTCCTTCTGCAGGGTAGAGACGTCGTCGTCTGCGAGCAGGGGCGGAGAGAAAAGAAAGCTGCCGGGAAGGCAGAGGAGGCCGGCCCAGCGGGGCCCGCAGGTGCGGCAGGGGAGGGGAGGGGAGGGCAGGGGTCCCGGGTCCTGCGCTCACCAGGCTCCATTTTCACCATCTTCAGCGCCACCAGGTCCCCCGACACCTTGTCTCGAGCCTTGGAAAGGGCAAGTTTGCAGCTGGAGGGTTTCCATCTGCCCGAGCCCACCCCCCACCCCAGCATCCCTGAGCCAAGGCTAAGCACTGGGGCCCTCCTGCACCCCCTTCCTTGCTTGGGCCTCAGCCCGAAGGTCCTGGGCTTCAGGGTGACGGAGAGACCGAGAGGCCTGCTCACCTTGAACACTTCCCCGTAGGTGCCGCCACCCAGCCGCTGAAGCAGGTCGTAGTGGTCCCGGGGGTCCCTGTTGAAGATGTCGGGGTCCGCGAGGTCCATCCCTGGGGGCTGGAGCTGGGCCTGTGCCCAGGGGCCAGCGGGGCCTCAGGGCTCCAGCTCTGGCACCTCCCTCCCTCCCTCCCTCCCTTCCCCACAAGCCCTGCACCGCCTCGCCTCCTCTCTGTGGGCTGTGGCCTCCCCCTTCCCCACTCTCGCTTCCTGTCCCAGCTGCAGGCCTGGGCAAACGGCTCCACCCCTGTCCCCTGGGCTCCGAAAGCCAGTGAGGAGCAGCTTGCCTCGGGACCCAGGGGACCCCCCTACGCCCCCAAGGCCGGGGGCTGGATGTAAATGAGATGCAAATAGCCTTAATTGTAACCTGGGGAGGGGAGCGCCCTAGCACCCCCTCTCCCCCCCTCCTCCAGTCCTGGGCTGCTGGAGGGTGTCTGGGGCTACTAGCCATGGGTGCTTACACTCGGAAGTGGCAGGTCTGCGCAGGGACGGCCGTGCAGCCTGCACACCTGTTCCCTAGGACACGTCCGTGTGCTCAGAGTTTTGCAGAGGCTTAGACATGTGCATGCCTGGGTATCTGTGTACACGTGGAGTTACCCAGAGCGCACACCTCCACGTATGTGGCCATGCATGTGTACCCGCGTGTGTAGTGTACAGTCTTGACACAAATAACTCAAGGCGGCACACAGGGGGGTCTAAGCCTTCAGCCAGGGGGCGGAGGCTAGGAACCTTTTACCCCAGCCTCTGCACAGCAGAGCGCACGGCTTCGTGGACCCCTATTCCCCTGTGGCTGGAGCTGGGACGGAGGGTGGGGACTACAGTTCAAAACTTGAAACGGAGAAGCTCGGGATCCTGTCTCAGGAGCCCAGGATGGTCGGGACTCGGCCGCGGCCCAAAAAAAAAAAGGCGGCTCCGTGCCTTCCCGCACAGTTCATTGGGTTCACGGCCGCGCGCAATACGACGTGCACGCACGCCGGCAGGGCTCGGCCTCTTCCTGGCGCCTTCGTGCGCGCGCGCGCGCGTCCCCGGGCCCGAAGCGGGACCTGCGAGGCCCGGGAAAAGCTCAGCCCCGCCTCCTCGCTCCCACGACGGCGGCTGCGCCCTGGGTCACACTGAGCTTTTTCTCTCGCGGTCGGTCCAGCTCGGGCGGAGCAAACGCGCAGGCGCCAATTACGCCTGCGGGGCGGGGGCGGATCACGTGTCAGCCGGAAAGCGTGGCCGCCGCCGCTTGCGCCTTCCGCCTCGGCGCGCCCGGCGGTGCCGAGCCGCGTACGTCGTTTCCGTTTCCGCTACGTCTTTCCTCTTCCGGCCTTGGGAGACCCGGTGCGGGCTGCTTGCGGAAGGCGGCGGGAGCCATGGCGATGTTTGAGCAGATGAGAGCGAACGTGGGCAAGTTGCTCAAGGGTATCGACAGGTCTGAGCCCGGTCAGGCGGAGCGCTCTGGCCACGCGGAATGGAGGAGCAAAGGGTGGCTCGTGGGCAGGGCATTCCCGGAGGGAGTGGCGTTTTTGGAAAACAGCGCAGGGCAGCCGGGGGCGAGCCGAGCCCCCCACTCGGCCGCCTCTTTAATTGCCTTGAGACTGACAGTAGGCAATGCTAGGAGCCAGATGGGACCGAGACTCCCGCAGGCGGTTTCCCTGGACTGAGTTCCCATTCCGAAGGGGAGAGCAACCCAGCCACACGTAGGAGTGGGCTGGAGCGGGCAGAGCTGTGCCGGGGGGAGCTGGGTAGTGAGGCGGGGAGGAAGCCACGTGTGTACCGCGGCACTGGCTGGCTGCGAACTTGGGGAGGCATCCCAGGCAATACCCGGGACTCTGGTGGGCTTGGGGACCCCGATTTTATGAGAGGTTATAGGGCCGATCCTTTACCTGGGCAGTGGCAAGGAGGGAGGGAGAAGCAGGTTAGGGTGGCCCCCTGGCCCCACCGAGGGATGCCTCCGTCTCTGCTCATCTCGAGTCTCTGCTAGGTACAATCCCGAGAACCTGGCCACGCTGGAGCGCTACGTGGAGACGCAGGCCAAGGAGAACGCCTATGACCTGGAAGCCAACCTGGCTGTCCTGAAACTGTGAGTGTCTGGCCCGGTCCCCACCCCCACGTCAGCAGCTAGCAGCCTGCTGTTCCCTGCACGGGGGTGGGGTGGGTGGGTGAGAAGTGGGTAGCTGGGTGTAGCCTGTGGGTTCTCTGGCTGTATGACACCAGGGAGACCAGGGAAGTAGGGGCAGGAGGAGGGAGGAATTTTTAAAAATTAATTACAGGGATCAGTGTTGTGACATAGCAGGTTAACTCTCCATCTGTGACGTCAGCGTCCCATATGGGTGCTGGTTTGAGTCCCGGCTGCTCCACTTCTGATCCAGCTCCTTGCTAATGCGCCTGGGGAAGCCGTGGAAGATGGCCCAGGTGCGTGGGCCCTTGCATCCGTGTGGGAGACCCGGATGGAGTTCCAGGCTCCTGGCTATTGCGGCTATGTAGGGAGAGAACTAGCAAATGAAAGGCCTCTGTGTGTGTGTCTCTCCCTCTCTGGAACTCTGCCTTTCAAATAAATCTTTTTTAGAAAAGTAATTACAAATGTGTGAGTAGGGTAGTACATGAAACTGACAAGGAAATACAGCTTAAGCGAGCCCCCATGTGCATGGCATCTATGTCCTGAGGTCGTGGCCTGGCCTTGAACTTGTTCACTGACGTGTGTATCCTGCTTCAGCCCTGGGTCTGTGAGATCAGTACACTGTGCGTTGTTCAGGTTTGGTTTTGTTCTGACCTATTTAAGGGGCCGAGAGATGGGGCTGCTTCCCACTGGTTCACTCCCAGATCCCCCTGGCACCTGGGGCTGTGCTAAAGCCAGCAACCCAGTGTAGGTCTTCCCGGCGGATGGCGGGGACCCGGTCACTTGAGCTGTCATTGCTGCTTCCCAGGGTCAGGAGCTGGAGACAGGCACCAAGCCCAGGCACTTGGCCGTGGGGAGGGTGAGCCCCCCCACCCCGGCTGTGTATTTATTTTTATTTTGTGGCTGTCCTTGGTGAGCACTGGTCACTGTGTGACCTTGTCTTAATACTCTGTCTTAATTCACTGTGGGTGGACCTCGGGTTTCTTCCCTCTCGCGTGCTCTCTGACCCACGATCAGCTGTGTGGTGTTGGCAGGTTACGTAGCCTTGGTGGGGTGTTTGTACAGTGGGGCTTTGCGTCTGCGCGGGAGAGCAGCTTGTTACTGGTGAGCACCAGTATCGGCTGTTACCCACGCGCTGGCCACTGTGCTGCCAGCATCATGTGACTCAGCCGGTCACCACATCCCATCGCTCCTGTGAGGGAGATGCGGGTGTCGTTCTCTCCCTCTCCCCCTCTCCCCCTCTCCCTCTCTCCCTCTCTCCCTCTCTCCCTCTCTCCCTCTCTCCCTCTCCCCCTCTCTCCCTCTCTCCCTCTCTCCCCTCCCCCTCCCTCCCTCTCTTTGTGGAAAGGCAAAGTGACAGAGAGAGGAGGAGAGACAGAAAGGGAGAGAGATCTTCTGTCTGCTGGTTCCCCCAAATGGCTGCAACAGCCAGGGCTGAGCCAGGCCAAAGCCAGGAGCTTCTTCTGGGTCCCCCATGTGGGTGCAGAGGCCCAAGCACTTGGGCCATCTTCTGCTTACCCAGGCGCATTCGCAGAGAGCTGGGTGGAGCAGCCAGGCCTTGAACCAGCACCCATATGGGATGACGGTGTTGCAGGTGGTGGCTTTACCCGCTATGTCACCACGTCGGCCCCTGTTCTTTGCTGAGACTTGGAAACAAGCCATCCACGGTTGCTCCGCAGGGAGTTTTAAACCTAGGCAGGCTGCTCCAGAGCCTGAGCCACTCCCCAGACGGCTGCTCACCTGTTGGCGAGTCTCTTGGCGCTATCTGCCCTTCTGGGTGGTTTTGAGGTCAAACCATCCCCGTCTACAGAGCAGAAAGCAGGGAACTGGGAGGTTAAGGTGATGTAGCCAGAAAGTGTCGTCGGGGGGACCGGAGCCTCGGCCTGGCCAGCTCCCAGGCTGCAGAGCACACCAGTGGGCCACGTGCCGGTGGAGGTGGCCCCGTTCCATGTGTCTTGTCTCCCTGCCCAGGTACCAGTTCAACCCAGCCTTCTTTCAGACCACGGTCACAGCCCAGATCCTGCTGAAGGCCCTCACCAACCTGCCCCACACGGACTTCACGCTGTGCAAGTGCATGATCGACCAGGCTCACGTATCCTCCCATGTGTCTGCTGTGGGCCTGGGCCCTGCCCTCTTGGAGGGCCAGGGCAGGGCGATCCAGGCGCAGGGAACCCAAGAGGCCGCAGCTGTCTTGGACAGCACAGCGAGTCGGGCACGGGAATGCCAGGGATTTCCAAGTGGAACGTGGCCAGGTCTCGAGGACACTGGGGAGCCCTGGGAAGCGTTAGCCGCAGGGCGCTGGGAGTGGCCCCGTGCTTCGGAAAGGAGCCCCAGTGGTGCCAGCAGAGGGAGCCCTGGGTAAGGGACCAGGTCAGGGCAGGAGGGCCCAGTGCCTCCAGCTATGGCCTGGCCGCTCCCCGCCTACGCCTCACAAGGTGGGCGGGCCCTCGTGCTGGCCGGCAACATGGCTGCCTGTGCTGTCGGGGCCGAGCCGAGGAAGGGCCGGTGGCTCACGGAGCCTGCTCTGCCGCCTGTGTCCGTCTCCGGGAGTTTGTCCTTGCTTTGTAGGAGCGGGAGCGTGGGTCACAGTTTAAGATGCAAAAGAGAAAACAGTGGAAACTAAGACTCTCCCGCCTGCCCTGCCCCCCATCCCTTCCACCACAGCACGGCTGTGATTCCTGGGGCCTTTTCCACGACCTCTGCATGGTAGACAGGCGAGGGGCTTTCGGGGAGCTGGTGATGCGGATTAGGAGCTGCATGGGGTTCCGAGTCCCTTGCGCTGGCGTTCTCTCGGTATTCCATTCTCGCACGACGCTGGGACGCGTCCCCATGTTCCCTTCACCCCAGCGACAGCGTCTCGGCAGTGTCGTCGTGTGTTCTGTCTGCTCTGTGCAGGTCGCGTTTCCTGGTCACCTGCCTGCGGGGGTGCCTGTTCACCCCGCCTGTGGCCCCAGGGGAGATAAGACGGCGTCGTTTCCCCCTTGTTTACTGAGCTAAGCCTTTGGAGGGAAGGGGATTAGAGGAAGGTGGGTGGGGAGGGGTAAGCAAGTACCAGCCCAGCCTCTAGGGCGGGGTATGGACCTGGGTCCACAGGCCTGCAGTGGGCTGTGTAAGGCCCGAGAACCATTTGTTCTGACCCTGCCAAGGCAGCCACAGGTGGCACTTGAACTTCACTGCACCTGCGGCTGGCCACTTTGTAAGTTGATGGTTTGGGAGGTGTGGGGATGATGTCACCAGTACCGGCGTGGCCCTTGGCAGTCAGAAAGCTCATCCCCCCGGCGCTCCAGGCTCCCAGAGCTTTTTCCCTTAACGCTCGCTCCCAGCAAGAAGAGCGGCCGATCCGGCAGATTCTGTACCTCGGAGACCTGCTGGAGACCTGTCATTTCCAGGCCTTCTGGGTAAGGTGCCCTGAGTCCCGAGTCCTGGGAGGACAGTGCCGGCAGGGGGTCGTGAGCCATGCTGGCTGCCTGCTGGGCCGGACGGGCAGTGCTCTGCCTGCAGGAACTCACGGGGGCCCCGGGCACGCTTGCCCTCACCCCCAGCCTGGCCCTCTGTGCCTGTGGCCTCCTCCTGCTGTTCCTCAGCCATTCCCAGTCCCCCCCTCCCCCCCCCGGCCAGACGCTCCTGTGGGGTCAGCCCTCCAGTGACCGTGCCTTGTTTCGGGGAGAATGTAGTGTTTCTCGTGCCTGCTCTACTGCCTGTCCTAATTCTTAGATGTGCGGGGCGCCACAGAGGTGAGCCTCTCACGCCCCGGCCTCTCGGTTCCCTAATTTCTTGGTCTCTTCTCTGCCTGACCTCAGCCCTCACGCCGGGTCATGCCCTGCACCAGTTCTTTTTTTTTCCTATTTTATTTTCACCTACTTGAAAGCAATAGTGAGAGAGCGCGTGCATCCACTGATTCGCTCCCCAGACGCCCATGGTAGCCAGGCCTGGGCCTCCATCCTGGTCTCCCACGTGAGTGGCAGGAGCCCAGGTGCTTGGGTCACCATTTGCTGCCTCCCAGGGTGCATTAGCAGGAAGCTCAATCAGAAGCCGAGCAGCTGGGACGTGAACCTGCGTTCCTGTATGGGTGCAGGTGTCCCAAGTGGCGGCTTAACCCGTGGTGCCCCCACGCCGCACCCAGGCATCGCCTGGCCCCAGCCCCCGCTCTTGGGACCGTTAATGCCACTGTTTGTTGTGTGAGCCGGCCATTGCTCTTGGCAGCAAGCCCTGGATGAGAACATGGACCTCCTGGAAGGCATCACCGGCTTCGAAGACTCCGTCCGCAAATGTGAGTCCTTGGAGCCTGGGGTCCACGAGGCACAGGGTGGGGACTGGCGGTGGGGACTGGTGGCGGGGCCCGGGCGGCCCCTCAGCAGCTTTGTCTGTCCACAGTTATCTGCCATGTCGTGGGCATCACTTACCAGCACATCGACCGCTGGCTGCTGGCCGAGATGCTTGGGGACCTGACAGGTAAGGCCCCTGGCTCCCTTGTGCCTGGGTGGGAGGTTGGCGTCGGTTGGGGACCCTGAGCCTCCGGCTGCTCGTTTCTGAAGGAAACAAGGACTGATGAGGCGTTCTCCCGTGGGGAGAGCCTGTGCCAGTCATTCATGGACTGGCTGGCGGCCCTGTGGACGTCAGGCACACAGCAGTGAGCGGAACAGGATGGCACAGATTGGCTGTCCCGGATCCCCCAGATCAGAGCTGGGCCCGAGTCGTGCTGTGAGCCACACCGCTCCTGGAGGGGGCAGCCTCAGGAGCAAGGGCCGCCTGCAGCAGAGCCGACCAGCGGGGTCCTCCAGCGGGGTCCTGTCCCTCGTGTTCACCGTTGGAAGAGGGGGCCGAGGGTGGGGAGGCGGAGTAAAAACCCACAACAGCTGGGTCTGGGGCTGGGACAGGCCGAAACTGGTAGCTGGGGACTCAGTCTGGGTCTCCACAGTGGTGGCGGGACCCGGTACCCGTGCCGTCACCTGCCTCCCACACTGCACAGCAGCAGAGAGCAGAGTCCGTGAGCAGCTGGATCTCGAGCCGGGCGGTCTGGCGTGGGATGGGTGCATCCGAGCCGAGTCTTCACCACTGACCAGACGCCTGCCCCGTTTTTGCCTTTTGCTCCAGTGGTTTGTGTCTTTATTTTGTGCACTTTTAAAATATTTTAAGATATTTTGAAGGAGATAGCAGAGAGGGAGAAACAGAGACTTCCATCCACTGGTTCACGTCCCACGTGGCCACAACGGCCAGTGTTGGGCCAGACCAGATCCAGGAATTTTTCCAGGTCTGCCACGTGGGTGGCAGGGGCCCAAGGACTTGGGGCCATCTGCTGCTGCTCTCCCGGGTGCAGTAGCAGGGGGCTGACTTGAAAGTGGAGCAGCCAGACTCGAACTGGTGCCTGCATGAGATTCGGGCATCGCAAGTGGCGGCTTTGCCTGCTACGCCTCAGTGCCTGCCCCCAGACAAAAATGTTTCAAGTGGCCGCACACTCTCCTGCCTGACATCCAGCTGCCATATTTTCTCAGGGTGGAAAGAATAATGGGTGGTAATAATGATATGTACTGTAATCTCACAGTCATTTCAGGTAGCTCATAGGGGAAATCAGGTTAGTAAACACTTGTTGGTGACCAGGATTTGCACTGGGAGAGAAAAGAGAAACACAAAATCAATGAGGACGAAAGGGTAGCAATGGGAAGGGCGCCCCCTGGCTGCCGCCTGGGGGATAGCCACGCAAGGTGGGCCGGCGGCAGGGCTGTTGCTGTCTGGGCAGGAGGTCCCGTGAGCGTGCTGGCTGACGTCCCTGTGCTGCCCGTGTGCCCCACAGACAGCCAGCTGAAGATGTGGATGAGTAAGTACGGCTGGAGCGCTGACGAGTCGGGCCAGATCTTCATCTGCAGCCAGGAGGAGAGCATCAAGCCCAAGAACATCGTGGAAAAGATCGACTTTGACAGTGAGTGGGACCCCAGGCCTGGGAATCTGTACCTGCTGGGCTCCCGGGCTGCTGTAGCCCGAGGCCACTCCCCCGGGAGGGAGGGCGGGGCGTGCTGGATGGAGCCTTGTGGGCTGGGCCAGGGCCTCGCTCCTTTGTCCCTTCCCTGCCCTGGGGCCCCAGGGCCTCCTGTGCAGGCTCTGCAGCCATGATCCCTGGCTGGGACTCTGCTTCCCTGCTTCCTGGCTGACTTCTCCGCGTGTCTGTTCCTACGCCAGCAGCGTGGTCAGGACACACTGTGTAGCTTTTTCTTTTTCTTATTTTTTAGCTCTGTTTCACCTTTCTTTTTTCTTTTATTTTACGTATTTATTTGAAAGGCAGAGTGGCAGAGAGAAAAACAGGCAGGTGTAGCTCTCCTGTTTGCTAAGTCACGTGGTCCCCGCAGCAACCGCGTGAAGCAGGTGCTGCCACCGCCAGTTACGGAGCGATAGGAGGCTGCGCCAGGCGGTCTGGGGAATGGAATCGAAGCGGGAATTATTTTGCTGAACTAAAGGTTTGAAATGCATGCAGTGTTTTCATGATACGCATTCTCCCTGAACTTTCATTTGAAAAGCAGACAGAGCTCTCCTATCTGTTGGTCATTCCCCAAATGCCCCCAACATCTGGGCCTGGGCCAGACTGAAGCCAGAAGCGGAGAACACAGGTGGCAGGGTCCAAGAGTTCGTTGCCTCCCAGGATGCACGGTGGCAGGAAGGCAACTGGGAACTGGGAAGGCAGCAGGGGCTGGAGCCCAGGCCCTGCACGACAATGTATGAAGCACCTGCCCTCACCTCTGGGCTTTCTGAAGCCCCTCGCAGACATCACAAAATGCCTGCCTGGCAAAAATACGAGTGTGAAATGAGCGAATCCATATGTAACAGCGACAAGCCAGTCACACAGCTGAGTATCATGCATTGTGTCATGCACACACATTGACCTCACACAGCCCGCCTGGTGGCTCAACAAAGCAAAACAGATGCTGTGCTTGCACACCGTCTCCCAGTCTGTGCCCTATGCTCTTGAGTGATTGTGGTGTTTAAAGATAGGAAGGGGGGGGGGTGGCTGGCGCCTGTAGTGCCGGCATCCTATCCCATGTGGACGCCAGTTCGAGTCCCAGCTGCTCCACTTCCAATCCAGCTCTCTGCTATGGCCTGGGAAAGCAGTAGAAGATGGCCCAAGTCCTTGGGCCCCTGCACCCACATGGGAGACCTGGGAGAAGCTCTTGGCTCCTGGCTCCTGGCTTCGGATCAGCACAGCTCCAGCCATTGTGGCCATCTGGGGCGTGAACCAGCGGATGGAAGACCTCTCTCTGCTTCTGCCTCTGCCTCTCTGTAACTCTGCCTTTTCAAACAAATAAATCTAAAAATAATAAGTAAAAATAAAGACAGGGATTGGAACCAGGCAGCGCCCGCCAGAAAGCTTGGCAGGAGCCCGGCCCGAGGCTGAGCGGGCACTGGGGTTCCCAGAACGCCTGTCCAGCAGCACATGGTGAATCAGTCGGTGCCAGTGCTCCTGGTCCACGTCCCTGGGGTGGCTGTTGGGGTGCAGGAGGTGACACTGTCGCCCAGGGCACCCACATCCATACTGGAGTGCCTGGGTTTGAGTCCCACCTCCACTTCTGATCCAGCTTCTTGCTGATGCGCCCCTGAAAGCGGAGATGATGGCCCAAGTATCGGGTCCCTGCCAGCCGCGGGGGAGACCCAGATGGGGTTCTTGGCTGATGGCGCCTGTTGGGCAATGAACCTGCAGATGGAAGAGCTCACTCTCTGTCGCTCTGCCTCTGGAGTAGATGAAAATACACATTTATAAAGGACAGGAACTAGCCACGCTGGGTTGGCACTGGGCGTTGTGAGCATGTATTTTAAGATTTTTTTAAAAATTACTTTATTTGAAAGGCAGAAGCAGAGGCAGGCAGAGAGAGAAAGGGAGGGGTCTTCCATCTGCTGATTGACTCCCCAGTTGGCCGCAACAGCTGGAGCTATGCTAACCTGACGCCAGGAGCTTCTGGGTCTCCCATGCGGGTGCAGGGGCCCAAGGACTTGGGCCGTCTTCTCCTGTTTCCCAGGCCACAGCAGAGAGCTGGTTCAGAAGTAGAGCGGCCAGGGCCCAAACCGGTGCCCACATGGGATGCTGGCACTGCAGGCAGCAGCTTTACCTGCTACGCCACAGCGCCGGCTCCATGAGCACACATTTCATCCTGCAGAGATGTGGGGTGGCCAGCCCGGGGTCACCCCACTCGTGGCGGCCGTGCAGGCTTGTGGACCGCTTGGCTGCCCAGTGCGTGTTGTGCTTAGCTGCTGCGTCAGCATCTCTGACAGTGACAGGGCCCGGCGGGGACTCGTGATCCGCCCGGCTGGAGCTTGACCTCCGGGCGTCTGCACTGGACCTGAGCGCCCCCTTTCTTCTCGGCAGGTGTGTCCAGCATCATGGCCTCCTCCCAGTGACCGCCAGGACGAATAAAGAGCTGCTGACTGAGCCCTGCTGTGCTCTGCTCTGTGGCCACCCACACGGGCCCCCTAGCGCCGCCAGGGGGCTTCTCCTCTCCCCATTGACTTCTCCCCTGCGCCTCCCTCTCCAAGCCTGTGTTCCCCCGTCGGGGGTGAGGATTCCAGGGCTTAGATCAGGGCCTCCTGGCCGTGTTCTTGGAAACGTGGGTCCTTGTTCATTTCAGGCTCAGAGACCCAGCAGCGAGGTTGCAGGCGAAGCCTCGCCTCCCGGAAGTGGGTCTACAGCTCTAACGGGGGAGGTGGGGGGAGCCAGGGGAGAGGACAGGGCCGCCCTTTGAGCAAGGCACTGCTCCCAAGTCCCAGCCTGGTGCTGTGGGGTGTGTGAGAGGCCGGGGGCCCTGCTTCTGTCACTCGATCCCTAGATCCCAAGGTATTTGAGGCATCTGTCCAAGTGACCTCTGAGCCTGCTGTGTGCAGGGTGAGGGGGTGGGGACTACAGGAGGAAGGCCACGGCGCTGCCCCCCAGCACTTCCTCTCGTCCTGTGGAGGGGCAGCCTTCCCTGCGGCCCCAGTCACCCCACATTCCTCAGGAGGAGCCAGGGTAGGGCAGGCAACCTTTGCTCTGGGTCCAGGCCTGAGCACTGCCAGGAACTAGGAAGGGCCCCAACCCTGGGTTGGAACAGCAGGTACTTCTGCACCGGGGCAGCAGGAGACGGGGAGGCGGGGGGGGGGGGCTGGTACCCACCCAGGTGTTTGTGCAGATTAGCAGCAGGCGCCCCCTCTGGGTGGGGACGGCTTTCGTCACGCCCTTGGCAGGTGTCCTGTGCATGACACAACCTGTACAACTGGCCATGGCTGTTCTGCAGGACAGAGGGAATGACCTTTACCTCCGTTGGAAGCCTTTTTTTTTTTTTTTTAAAGCAGCCACGCTTTAATTCCTGTAACAGCTGAGACTGGAGCCCGGAGCTCAGTGGAGGTCCCCGTGGGAGCAGTGGGAACCCAGCTCCCACCATCGCCTCCTGCCTCGCGCCTCCCAGGTCTGCGTGAGCAGAAAGCCGGAGTCAGGAGGCCGAGCTGGAACAGAAGCAGGCACCCCAGTGTAGGATGTGGGCAGTCGCCCCAGCCCTGCCAGACGCCCGCCCCTGGAGGCCATATCTTGACCTGCTTGGTGGCCTGTCCTCTGACAGCAAAGAGGGCTAGCCCTGGGGAAACACTGAGCTCAAGCCCCTGGCTTCGGGCACATTAGTTCACCTCTCCGTACCCGGCCTCCCACCCAGGGAAAGTAGTTGTACTCGCTTCATTAGCGCGAGCTAACACCTGCGGACTTACCCTGCACCTGTGTGTCTTGAGCCGTCATAAACCTGCTGCTGCCTCAGATTCCATGCTGGTCCGGTGCCGCCCCGGGCTCGGGCTGCTGTTCCAGCTGCTCCCATAGCCACCTGCTGACGTCCCAGCACCCTCTCGTTCCCACTGGGAGGGCACAGCCCTGGGTCCACCTCCCCCAGGTAGTGCTGACGACGGGATTCAACGATTAGTGAGTTCTGCTGGAAGTTTCAAGGAACAGCAAACTGGACTCCACCCTGCCCTGGAGCCCCACCTGTCCTCCCGCCGCAGGCCCTGCCCTGCCGCCATTGGACCCCCAGTAGACCCCTCAGGCTGTGACCACTGTTCTGGCTGCGGAGGGTGCACAAGACCAGCAATTAAAGGCAGATTTTTCAAATTTTTTTTTTTTTAAGTAAGGACTTATTTATTTGAAAGGCACAGTTAGAGGAGAGAGAGGTCTCTGCTGGTTCACTCCCCAAATGGCTGCAATGGCTGGAGCTGCGCCAATCTGGAGTCAGGAGCCAGGAGCTTCCAGGTCTCCCAAGCAGGTGCAGGGGCCCAGTGACTTGGATCCAGAGAGCTGGATCGTAAGTGGAGCAGCCAGGATCTGCACCGGCACCCGTATGGGATGCCAGCACTGCAGTTGGCATTTTACCCACTATACCACAGCGCCAGCCCCCAAACAGCCTCTTAAGCACTATGCCTAACACCTGCCCCCCAATGGAGCCCTTGATTTAAATATTGCTGGCTAGGGCTGTGCACCTAACCTTGAGTCTGCTCTGGGCAGTTTCTCAGTGCCCACTGGGCACTTCCTGGCTTTGTCACCTAAGGCGCCTGCCCCCGGCCCAGGCCCAGCTGAGACCTGAGCTTCTCCGAGGCAGGCAGCAGGATCCTGCCCTGCCCAGCTTCGGAAGCTGCCAGTGCGCCATGGCGGGCAGGCCGGTGCCCAGGCCTTGTCCCCTTCCTCTGCTTGCTCTTGGATCTCCTCCCGCCTCTGGAGAGGGGTGCTCAGCTCTCCTAGACCTGGAGGCGCCTGTCTTCCAGGCCTCACCGCAGATAGTTGCGCGGTGACCAGCCCCTTGTCACAGGCTGAGTTCCCATCCCAGCCCAAGGCCTGCTGTGCCTCCAAGTTCTTCCCGCTCCCTGTTGCTCGCACCTGGAGGCTGTCAAACTTCTCAGCGAAGTCAGATCCGTGAAGCCCTGTCAGCTCCGCTTTCCCGAATCTTCCTGTTCGTTCCTCTCTCACAGGACCCTGGTCTGTCCAGCACCCTCCTCCCTGGGCTCAAACTTATGCAGTCCCCACAGCGGGCCCCATAAATGCCTGGCTCGGGTCCCCTGCACCCTGCCAATTTGTACTGCACTTCCCATTGCATTTACGTAAAATGCGGATTCCTCAGCGTGGTTTAAGCCTAGTCATTCGTTCACTTAGGACTTTTTTCATTTGTTTGGAAGACAGATCTTGCATCTGCTCGTTCACTCCTCAGATGCCCACAACAGCTGGGACTGGGCCAGGTGGAAGCCAGGAGCCTGAAACTCGGAACCCGTCTCCCACTCGGATGACATCGCCCAAGTACTTGAGCTATCCCCAGCCGCCTGCCAGGCCGCGCATTGGCAGGAAGCTGGATCTGAGACAGAACCGGGCATTCCAATATGGGATGTGGGCACCCCAAGCAGTGACACCCACGGTCCACCTGCCCGCCTCCACCGAGCACTTGCCAAGCTTCCACTTCCTGCCATCTCCGGCTGCAGAGAATGGAGGCCAAAACGATGATTCCCTAGGTCACGGGCCCGTGTTCTTGTGGGAGAGACAAGGGGCACAATCCATAGATGACCAGGGTGTGTTAAGTGCTGTTGAGCAGGGGTGGGCGTTGTGACGGCAGTGTGTTAAGCTCCTGCTTGGGACACCTGCATCCCATACCGGAGTGTGGGCATCCGAGTCGGAGTGCTCTGTTTCCAGGTCAGCTTCCTGCTAATGCGCCTGGGATACAGCAGGCGAGGGGCCCCCTGCCACCCACATGGGAGACCCAGGAATTCTTGGCTCCTGGCTTTAGCCTGGCCCAGCCCTGGCTGTTGCAGGCATTTGGAGAGTAAACCAGCAAAAGGAAGACTCTCTGTCCCTCCCTCTCCTGTCACTCTTTCAAATAAGTAAATGAAACTTCTAAACAGTGAAGGTAAGTAGACTGAACAAAAACTAAGCAGGGAGGGGTGGGGTGCGGTTTGCAGTAAGGTGGTCGGGGAGGGCTCCCCTGAGAGCTGGAGGGGCTGCGTGGGCCGTGGGGACCGGGCATCTGGGGAAAGCATTGCAGTTCAGTGGGTCATGGAGCACAGGGGCCTGCTGGGCTCCAAGGGACAGCTGGAGGTCAGTGACGAGAATGGGGAGAGCTTGAGGGAGACTAGGACCGGGGTAGGAAGACCTGGGTCTGCCTGGAGCCCCAGGACGCTGGGCTGGGGGCCTGCGCTGCGCTGTAGTGGGTTAAGCCACTGCCTGTGATGCCAGCACCACACTGGTTTACTTGAGAGGGGGAGGGAGAGATCTTCCATCTGCTGGTTTACTCCCAAGATGGCTGCTAGGCTGGAGCTGAGCTGGACCAAAGCCAACAGCCAGGAGCTGCTTCTGGGTGTCCCGTGTGGGTGCAGGGGCTCACACACTTGGGTCACCTTCCACTGCTTTCCCAGGCGCGTTAGCAGGGAGCTGGATCAGAAGTGGAGCAGCCAGGACTTGAACCGGCCCCTACATGGGATTGGGATGCCGCACCACAGACAGCAGCTTACACACTATGCCACGGTCCCCCCCCCCCCCTTTAAGATTTATTTATTCATTTGAGAGGCAGAGAGGGCTTCCATCTATCGGTTCGGAGCTGGGCTGATCTGAAGCCAGGAGCTAGGAGTTTCTTCCTGGTCTCCCACGCAGGTACAGGGGCCCAAGCACTTAGGCCATCTTCCACTGTTTTCCCAGGCCATTAGCAAGGAACTGGATTGGGAGTGGAGCAGCCAGGACTCAAACTGGCTCCCATATGGGATGCCGGCACTGGAGGCAGAGGCCTAAGCTACACCACAGGGCCAGCCCTGGCTGCTCCACTCCCAGTCCGGCTCCTGCTAACAGCCTCGGAAAGCAGGAGAAGATGGCCCAGGTGTTTGGGTCCCGGAAGAAGCTCCTGCGTCCTGACTTTGGCCTGGCCCTGCCCTGACTGTAGCAGCCATTTGGGGAGTGAACCAGCACATGGAAGCTCATTCGCTTGTTCTCGCTCTGCCTTTCAAATAAATAAAATAAATCTTAAAGAAAAGGAAGAAGAAGGATGGAAGGAAAGAAACTGGGCTGGGCTGGGCGGCCTTTCCTCCTCACCTTGATTCTGGCTTTTATCCTGAATATGGAACCAAGCAGAGGCGGGAGGGACGGGATCCCTTCCCGGGCTCCCTCTGACTTCTACCCTCTGCCGGAGGCGGAGCAGCTCCTGCCATGGTCCAAGAGGGACAAGGACAGTGTGGGTGGGGCCTGGTGAGGCCGCGAGGGGCAGGGGAGGTGGTGTGCAGCCTGTGTGCACTCTGACGTGCAAGAAGACACTTCCCGGGAGACCTGGGTGTGGGTGTGGAGACAGAGGTGCAAGGGCAAGTGCAGGATGGGGCAGCCCCTAGCAGGAGTGCGGCTGGAGGGCGCCCAGCTTTGGGGGAGGGTCAGGAACTCAGCTTCGCGTGAGCCTGTACAGCATCGTTTATCTGCGTTTGTTTGCCTTTATATCGCTGCCCTTCCCGCCTACAGTGAGAACGAATGAGGCTGATAATGCTCAGACCATAGAGCCAGCCCTCAAGAACAGTAGCTCGCACGTAGTAGGTACACATAGTGGGGCTGGGTGTTTGGTGTAGCGGTTAGGTTGCTGCCTTGGACACCTGCATCCCACATCAGAGCGCTTGCTTTGAGCCTTGGCTTCTCTGCTCTGGGCCCGCCTTCTGCTAATGCCCACCCTGGGAAGAAGCAGACCATACTCAAGTGCTTGGGCCCCTGCACCCATGTGGGAGACCCGGAAGAAGCTCCTGGCTTCGGATCAGCACAGCTCCAGCCATTGTGCCCATTTGGGGAGTGACCCAGTGGATGGAAAACCTCTCTCTCTCTCTTTTTTTAAGATTCATTTATTTATTTGAAAGTCAGAGTTAGAGAGAGAGAAAGAGAGGTCTTCCATCGCTGGTTCATGTCCCAGATGGCCGCAATGGCCGGAGCTGCGCCGATCTGAAGCCAGGAGCCAGGAGCTTCTGGGTCTCCCATGCAGGTGCAAGGGCTCAAGCACTTAGGCCATCTTCCACTGCTTTCCCAGGCCATAGCAGAGAGCTGGATTGGAAGTGGAACAGCCAGGACTAGAACCGGCACCTATATGGGATGCCGGCACTTCAGGCCAGGGCATTAACCCGCTGTGCCACAGCGCTGGCCCCAAGTCTGTCTCTTAAATAAATAAATCTTTCTTTAAAAAAAAAAAAAGTTTATTAACCAATTAAGATAGACAAGTCCAAAAACCCTCCGCGCTCCCAGCCCGGGTCTCTGTTCAGACGTCCGCGTTTCTCCGGGAAGCCCCTCTGAGCCTCTCTGCCCCAGCCTGGGCTCGCTTTCTCCGCAGCCTCGGAAGCTATGTGCTTCTTAGCATCTGGTTCTCTTCCTTCACGTCCGACAGGGACTTCTGCCTCTCTTCTTTCGTGTCAACGCGTAACACAGGTTGGCACCCTGCTGGCGTTCCTTAAAGTATTTATTGAATTCGGGCGGCCGAACAGGAGCACGTTCCACGCGGGTGCAGGGAGACGACCCCGCCTGAGGAATCATTCATAGCGCGTGCCCCACCCACACGCGGACGGCGGGCGCGTTCCCGCGGGGCGGGGAGCGCGGCTCGTCCACGAGCTGCAGGGGTGGGGTGAGGGGCGCGGGGAGCGGGCTCTGCGCAGGCGCCGGGCTCCCGGGGGCGGTCCGGGTGGCTCAGGAGCGCGCGCGCGGGAGGGCGGCGGCGGCGGCGAGGTGCGCAGGCGCCGGCGGAGGGCGGGCTGAGGCAGCTGTAGCGGCGGCGGCGGCGGCTCCGGCAGAGGGGCGGGAGCTGAGGCGGGAGCGGACCGGCTGGTGGGCGAGCGAGAGGCGGCGGAATGGTGGACTACCACGCGGCGAACCAGTCGTACCAGTACGGCCCCAGCAGCGCGGGCAATGGCGCTGGCGGCGGAGGTAGCATGGGCGACTACATGGCCCAGGAGGACGACTGGGACCGGGACCTGCTGTTGGACCCGGCCTGGGAGAAGCAGCAGCGCAAGGTGCGCGGCCCGCAGGCCGGACGGGCTGGACGGGGTGGGGGGTGGGGTCTCCCGGAGGCGGCTAGGGAGGGGGGCGAGGTCCCAAGAGGGGAGTGGAGCATCCATGATGGAAATCAGGGGTCCCGAGGAGGAATTGGCGGGCTCGGGCGGGCCAGGATGGAGTCCTGGAGGCAGGAATTGGGAAGCGGAGAAACGTAGTCGGCGGCCTAGTAGCGTTTGTGGGGTCTAAAGAAAGGAATCGGAGCCCCGAGGAGGGTGTGCAGGGCTTGGGCGGGGAGCCTGGGGAGGCTGAAATGGAATCGGGCTGTGAGGCGGGCTCGCAGGCTCCGAGGAGCGGCTGGCAGTGCCCCGCGGGGCCCCTGGGCGTCTGCGAGGGGAATTTGTGGGCCAGGGTGGAATGGGGGTGTGGGGAGTCCGGAGGGGGGGGGGTCCGTTGCAGTGCAGAAAGGCCCGAAGGAGGTTGGAATCCGGGGAGCCTTGGTGGGGGGGGGCGTAAAGAGGGTGAAGATGGAGTGGGGGTGCCCGGGAGGGGTTGTGGGGTCTGGAGAAGGGAGGGAAGACAGGGGGGGGCTAGGGCGTGAGTTGGGGTGCTCAGGAGGGCCAGGTGCCGAGGGGGGCAGTTAGGGGCCTGTGATTGGAAGAAGGTGAGAGTGATTTGGGCTGCCCTGTTGTAAGGGGAAGGAGGGGAGGACCTGGCGGGGAATGGAGAGGCCCAGGGTGAGGGGGTGTGCTGGGGAGGGCTCTCGGGAGCCTCGTGGGAGGTTGAAAGCTTAACCAGGGGTCGGGGACGCCCGAAGAAAAGGTGGTCTGGCAGAGGTGAGGGTGGGAGGGCCCGGGCGCTGGAATGGCGGCTGGGGGAGGAGGCTGCTTTAGGGAAGGGAACGTGTGGTGAGTGGACTGAGACAGGCGCTTGGGAGGGGGCTGGGATCCCGTCCTGGGGGAGGAGGGGCGAGGGTGCTCAGGAAGAGTCTGGGGCCTGGGGGGGTGGGGGGGCAGGTCCCGAGGCAGAGTCTGGTCCCCTGTGGAAGCCGCGGAGGAGCAGACCACAGTGGTGACAGGGCGACGGGGGCCTCATCCAACGTGGGTGAGAAGGGCGGAGCGCGGGCTGGTGTTGAAGGGTTCCAGTGTGTGCAGGAGGAGCATGTTGGGGGCGCGTGGGGAGCGGCCGCTCAGAAGTGCGCGGGTGGCGCGTGGGGGCGCGTGAAGTTGGATCTGGAGCTCTCCCGGATGATTACTGAGCAGCTCCCTGGCCCTGGCCTAGCCCCTCTGCAAAGGCGGATTGAATGGGGTTGGTGGACACTTTGCAGGAGCCTAGGGGCAGACTCGGAGGCGGGGCGGGCGGGGTTTGTGTGGAGAAAGTGCCTGGACTGGAAGCCTGTTGAGGGCGGGAGGTGGTGCCCTGGGGGTGGCACAGGCAGCCCCCCTGGAGGAGAGAGGGTGGGACGGGCCGCCGGGAGGTGGGGCCCGGCATCACCTTGAGTAAACGACCAGCAGCAGCTTGGGTTTCCTCGTGGGTAGTAACTGGGGTGGAGGGGTGGCGGCGTCCTTATCCACTGCCCCACCTGCCTCAGGTTCCGGGGATGGAGGATGCTGGGATACCTGGCGTCACAAGGCTTTTTTGGGGGGAAGGGGAGTTCCAGTCTGGAGCCTCAGCAACAATGTGCTGCCTGAGGCCGTGCCAGGCTGGAAAAGGTTCGGAGTTGCCAGGGAGCTGGGTGGGGGCCGGGGGCCACAGCACTGTGTGTGAGAACGCCTGGGGGCCCCCTGCCGCAGCTCCAAGGAGCCCCTTGTCAGGTGGAGGGGTCCCTCCCTTTCCTGTCCTCTGCCACTCCCCAAGTGACTCCTTGCCAGCTCCTTCCACTCCCTTCTGGGAGTCAGGGTGTGTACTAGTTCCGTGGTCATAGACTCCCTTGCCCACAGGGCGAGGCTGGGGCCCGCGTAGGCTCAGGGCGGAACCGGGACTCACCGGAACCCCCAGGCTTTCCTGCTGTGTGTCACGCTCGCTCCCGCTGCCCGGGCCAGGCAAGGTTGCGGGGAGGGTAGCTCACGGCGTCCTCCCACACCCGCTGCCTTGGCCTCTCGGCAAGTGCCAGGTTCTCCTTCGTCCTGCTTTGTACCTGCTCCCGCAAATATTTACACTTGGCCGTCTGTGGGGGAAATGAATTGCCTCACCTCTGCGCCCTTTCCCGTTACAGGCAGGCAGCGCTGATGAGATAGGGAAGGAGCCGCGGAGAGGCAGACGCGAGTGTGTGCTGTTCTTCCCCTTCCCAGAAAACCCCACTGCCACACCACAGGCTGGGCTTCTGTGTCACAGTGGTGAATGACAGACCGCCTGCCCAAGGCCAGTCCATGGGCACAGGGCAGGGGCGGCGCTGTGGACGTCCTGCTCGCCACGGGCACCTGCTCTAAAGATCTGTATTGAGGACCCCGGTAGGCTTTCAGAGCCTGGGAATCCAATTCTCCTGGGAATGAAGCAGGGGGTTGGGGAGGGGGTGTGTCCCACGTTTACCTCGAAGCCCTTTGCTGGGACTCCTAGGGTCTGGCTCTGGGATCATGCTCCTGGCTCTGTGACCCAAGCATTATTGAATAACCAGTTTACACAACAGTTTTTACCTGGGAGGTGGGAGGGCTGTGAGTGGTCTAGAGGGTGTCCGGGACTGGCCTGCTCTTTCTTGAGCAGTTGTAGCTCTGGGCCACAGCCCCCTCCCCCAGGGCCTGAAGGGGGCCGAGGTGGCCTGGCCACCGCCTGCTCCTGCAAGGGCGCTCTTGGGACACGGATTCCAGAACTCCCCCGGGCAGCCGGGGGAAACGCTTGTTAAGCCCACGTGTTCGTTTTCAGGGCCTCGGGGTTTAGACCATGACCTTTGGCTCAGGGTGTATTCAATGCGAGTTAATTATTTGAAAGTTCTGATGGTGGTTTTTTTTCCCTCTTCCCCAAGTAGGTCTTTTTATTTTCATTTTTTTGAGGCTAATGATAGAGGCCCCAAAGTAGCCAGCTGTTATTTTCTGCTGTTCCTTTAATTGCTTGCCTCTTAGGATCTGGTGAAAACGAATAGGTCTTTAGCAGTTTTCAAAATTGAATAATGTACTTTCAAAAAAAAAAAGTAACCAAACTACATTGTCATCTAGAAATTACCTGTGAATTGGTGAGGGGCGCAGGTATACTGTGTGCACCCACCTAGGGGAAGCTGCTCCAGCGCTGTAGAATGGGACTTGGCTAATGACCGGGAGGGCAGAGCTGACTGGTACCGTGGAGTGGAGCCTGCCATTTCACCTGTCCTGGGCAGTCTAGGGTGTGGGCCTGGGTTTGCCCTCTGCCTTTGGAAACACGCTCTCTGGTCCTGGAACCTACAGGGGCGGCTACTTGTCAGCAGAGAGCTGACTCACCCTCAGTTGGAACTGGTGCTAAAAGCTCCCATTTAATGGCAGCCAATTGCCTGGCCTCCAGTGGGAAGCTTTGTGGGGAAAGTTTGGGGAAAGTGTTGCAGGCAAACAGGCCCAGGAAATGAAGATGTTATCTGACAGGCAGGTGCTGTTGCAGTCTGAAGAAGCAGGCAGGGAGGTCAGTTAAAATGTGGATGTGTGCTCTCAGGTGTCCTCCTGATCAGATGGCCAGGGAGCAAGGGCAGGTCTGGACTCCAGTCTCAGCCTCCAGATCTGGTTCAGCTGCACCCGTTGCAGAGTAACTGAGCTCATAGCACAGGTTACCTGGCCCTGCTGTAGGGGGTGGCAGCAAGGAGCATGGAGCCGGAAAGAATCGATTTGGGAAGGCGCGAGGAGCTTGAGATTGTTGAGACGAGCGCTTCGGGCTTTTGCCCTCCTGACTTGCAGTCTACTGGGAATTGTACGAGCCTTTGACCAGACCTCAGGGTTCTTCAAGAACCAATTCCCTTGCTGCTGCTTTTATTTTCTGCAGGGGAGAAGTAATTAGGGGACAGCTGTTTGCTGTAGTAGCTCTTGCTCATTCAGGTTTTCCGAATAGCTGAAACATCATGGTTCTCTCCTCGCTGGCGTTGAGTGTCTTCTGGCCCAGCGCGCCCCCAGCGTCACCCTCCATTGCTAAAACTAGCTGATGTCCAGGATGCCATTAGTCACACTCAGATCATTCCCCTTGGTTCCCTTCCGCCGCCTTTATTTATGTATTTACTTCACAGAGCGACAGAAACGCTCACGTTACCTTCCGATTTTTCCTCTCCTTTTCTTTTTTCATGGAAATAAGAGGCAAGTGATAGCTGGTAATTCAATGGCAGTAACTGAAACACTGACCCATTAAAGGGGAGACGGAAGTTCCTACTTGAGCCAGATACAAACACTGTCATCCACCAGAGTTTGAAAGAAGTCTTTATGCCCTGGGTGTGTTGAGTGCTCAGGATCGGTCTCCTTTTGCATGGGTTTAAACTTTGAAACATCAAAGGAGAATTACAAGGAAACTGTTTGATAGTGTTGGCAGTGTTGGCGCCAGAATTTGTTATAAAGTGTCTGAAAGTAGTACAAGTATCACTTTTCTTCAAGAAGGTTTATAAGTTACATTTTAGTATCCCAGGTATCAAGGAGCAGAAGGTTCAGTGAATCAAAGAGAAACGGCCATTCTAAATCCCATCCTCTGTTTGTTTAAAGAGTGATCTTATTGTTGGGGGGTGGGGGAGGTTGTGTTCACCTGCTGCCTGGGAGCGGGGAAGGTTGGGGGGGTGATCCCGCGTGCTCCAGAAGGTGGAAGCTTTGCCTGTATTTAATAGACAAGTGTCTTCATGTCCGCGTCTGGGCAGTGTTGTCTATGTATGGTCTCTCTGGGATTTTAAACTCCGAGACACTTGTCTTGGTGTTGTGCCTTTTTTGGTTGTGTTCCTTCGCGCCCCCCACCCCACCCCCCTGAACAACAGGCGCTAACTTGGAATGCCCGTGGGAAGCCCCTGTGTGCTGTGCTGTCACTTGGTCTCCTCCCCACCACCTTGAGCAGCAGTTGCTCTGGAAGACCCCGTGGCCGTCGTCTTGGATGTGAT